CTTTCTGTTAATCTTTACCCCAGGATATTTTCCCATTGACTTTAGAGAGAGTGGACAGGAGGGAGGTGGGGGGGAGAGAGAGGGAGACACACCGATTAGCTGCTCCCACAGGTCGGGAGCGAACCTGCAACCCAGGTACGTGCCCTTGACGGGACTTGAACCCGTGAGCCTTTGGTACTTGGGCTGATGCTCCACCCCTGAGCCACACCGGCCAGCCCCCCTGCCCCCCGCTTCCCTAAGGCCTTTTCGGGAGCCCCCGGGCCTGCGTGTCTCAGCTCAGCCAGACCTTGCCTGGTCCCGGAGCAGAGGAGACACCGTGCTCCTTCCAGACGCGCTCGCCGGCTCAGCGCTGGCTCCTGGCGTCGATCGTCACGGTGACTTGTCTAAGACGTAATGTAACGTTTAACAGTTCTGTGTTTCCAACAAAGCTCATGGACAAAGACTTTTACAAGGACCTGGAGAAGATCAAGACCATCGGGAGCACCTACATGGCGGCCGTGGGGCTGGCGCCCACGGCCGGGGCCAAGGTGAGTGCTGTCCAGGGAGCCCCCGGGCCTGTCCCAGCCCTGCCCCAGCCGCCCGGGGCCCCGGACGGGCTCTCCGCTCGGGACCTCGGTCTGCCCTCTGCACGGGGTCAGGGCAGTGGCCTGTGCGGTGGCCTCGTCAGTGACCGGCCCTCTCCGGACACAGTCTCCTGCTGAGAGTCGGCCCTGGGGGCCCGTCACAGGGCTTCCTCCAGCCGCAGCCGGCCCGCCCTTTCCCGCCAGCCCAGCACCACTGAGTGTCCCCTTTCCCGACACAGACTTGAGAATAAAGCAGCAGGTTGTCCCTAAGAAAAAACACACACAAAACAAAACAGAAAAGAAATTATGTGAAAATTCAGTGAGTGGGAAGCAGACACGAGCCCAGCTGCCTCAGTGTCGCTTTAAACGGCGCCGATGGGAAGACAGACCCACAGGCCCCCCAGCTGTTCCACAGGAAACGCGCTTCGAATGTAAGTGACGCGCAGACACTCGGGGCCGGCAGAATGGAAACCGCTCTCGCAGCCGCCTTAGCTTCAGACAGCGAACCTCAGGTCAGGGAAAGCCCTCAGACAGCAGTGAAGGGCCGTTGCCTGATGATAGCGGGGTCACTTCCCCAGGACCTAACGAGCTTTTTTTTTTTTAGATTCTCCCCGGACGATATTTTTTCCATTGCTTTTCAGAGAGAGTGGGGGGGGGGGGAGAAACATCAATGTGAGAGAGAC